TTTCTGCTCTGCAAGCATGCCACAGTGTTTCACGGTTACCACCTAAACTCTGCTTTTATTTTACTACACCACAGTTTTGATATAATCCGTGGCACAAATCTCAGTGTATAAAAAGCAAAGCAACCTTGTAATCATTTAACTATAAGTAACACAGGTCTGCCCCTGGCCATCTCTTCCCACAGCCCATCTCCCAGGGTTCCGTGGTCCCTCTCTCAGCGTTCTGTGGCCCATCTCCCAGGGTTCCGTGGTCCCTTCCCAAGGTTCTATGGCCCATCTCCCAGGGCTCTGATCTCCATTCCAGGACTCCATGCCCCAGGTCCTAACCTCCTCCCTCCTGGTCATGGCTATTTTGACCTCTTGGCAAAGACATGGTGGTGACTGAGTGGTAGGTGATCTCTCAGACCCTGTAGGTCCCCTGGACAAGGTGAGGAAGGCCAAGATCCGGGTCAAGACCAGCAGCAAGGCCAAGGTGGAGTCTGAAGAGCCGCAGGACAATGACTTCCTCAGCTGCATGTCCCGGTGGGTGGCAGGACCCTGGGGGCGGAAGGGGGCGGGACTGGAGGTGTGGGTCTCCCTGGACCCAGCCCGGGGAACTGAATGGTGCCTGCGGGTGGGGCAGGCGCTCGGGACTGCCTCGATGGGTCCTGGCCTGCTGCCTCTTCCTGTCCGTGCTGGTGATGCTGTGGCTGAGCTGCTCCACCGTGGTGACTGCGCCTGGCCAGTACCTCAAGTTCCAGGTGGGTGTGATCCGTGAACGGTGCTGGGCTGAGGGGGAAGGTGGAGGCAGAGAGAGCTGCTTGCTGGTCCTGGATTTGGCCTCCTGCTCCCATGGAGGTCAGGACCTCAGGCTGTTTTTTCCATATATATATATATATATATACACATAATTTTTTAAAATTTTGAGACAGGGTCTCACTCTTTCACCCAGGCTGGAGTGCAGTGGTGCGATCACGGCTCACTGCAGCCTTGGCCTCCCTGGCTCAAGGGATCCTCCTGCCTCAGCCTCCTGAATAGCTGGAGCCACAGGCACGTGCCACCATGCCCAGTTAAATTTTGTATTCTTTGTAGAGATGGGAGTCTTGCTATGTTGCCCAGGCTGGTCTTGAACTCCTGGGCTCAAGCGATCCACCCGTCTTGCCCTCCCAAAGTGCTGTGATTACAGGCGTGAGCCACGGCACTTGGCCAGGACGTCAGGCTTGCTGCGTGACTTGGGGCCAGTTTCTTCACTGGCCTTTGAATTGGTGGGAAGAACATCCACTGTTAGTTGGGGCAACATGAAGTCAGAGGTGGCCTCACCTCTGTGGTGCCCAGAGGCTGGGCAACATAGTGAAACCTCGTCTGTACAAATCTTTCAAAATTAGCCTGGCCGGGCGAGGTGGCTCATGCCTGTAATCCCAGCACTTTGGGAGGCTGAGGCGGGTGGATCACAAGGTCAAGAGATCGAGACCAGCCTGGCCAACATGGTGAAACCCTGTCTCTACTAAAAATACAAAAAATCAGCTGGGCATGGTGGTGCGTGCCTGTAATCCCAGCTGCTGGGGAGGCTGAGGCAGGAGAATTGCCTGAACCCAGGAGTCGAAAGTCGCAGAGAGCTGAGATCGAACAGCTGCACTCCTGCCTGGGTGACAGGGCCAGACTACGTCTCAAAAAAAGAAAAAAAAATTAGCTGGACGTGAAGGTGCATGTCTATGATCGCAGCTACTTGGGAAGCTGAGGTGGGAGGATCACTCGAACCCGGGAGTTCGAGGCTGCAGTGAGCTGTGATGGTGCACTCAAACTTGGACAACAGAGCGAGACCCCATCTCAGAACAAAAGGCCCGGTGTGGTGGCTCACACCTGGAATCCCAGCACTTTGGGAGGCTGAGGCGGGCAGATCACTTGAGGTCAGAAGTTCGAGACCAGCCTGACCAACATGGTGAAACCCCGTCTCTACTAATAGTACAAAAATTAGCCAGGTGTGGTGGTGGGCACGTGTAGTCCCAGCTACTTGGGAGGCTGAGGCAGGAGAATCGCTTGAACCTGAGAGGCGGAGGTTACGGGTGAGCCGAGATTGCGCCACTGCACTCCAGCCTGGGTAACAAGAGCGAAACGACTTTGGGAGGCTGAGGCGGGTGGATCACTTGAGGTCAGGAGATCGAGACCAGCCTGGCCAACGTGGTGAAACCCCGTCTCTACTAAAAATACAAAAATTAGCTGGGCATGGTGGCACGTGCCTGCAGTCCCAGCTACTCGGGAGGCTGAGTAAGGAGAATCACTTGAGCCCAGGAGTTGGAGATTGCAGTGAGCCGAGATCACACCACTATGCTCCAGCCTGGGCAACAGGGAGAGACTCCGTCTCAGAAAAAAAAAAAAAAAAAAAATCAGAGATGGGAAGGAGACTCTTGTCAGGGTTGGGTGCTCAGCCGCACTCCTGCCCTCCACTCCCTCCTCCCCTCTCTTCCCGCAGCCTCTGACCCTGGAGCAGCACAAGGGTTTCATGATTGAGCCGGACTGGCCCCTGTACCCTCCGCCGTCGCACGCCTGTGAGGACAGCCCGCCACCCTACAAGCTGAAGCTGGACCTGACCAAGCTGTAGCCTCCACTGGCCCCATCATTGCCAATCGCAGGGGCCCCCGGGCCTCACTTGCCCTGAGCCCAGGAGTCCAAGGCCAGGGTGGGACCAGCCTTGGCCTCCTCCACCCCCGAATCCTTCCTCTCCTCCCAGTCCCGCCCCTGGCCCCACGGAGTCCCTGGGGACACAGTGCCCCAGCTGGGAGGAGGGCGGGATGGGGCGCTGGTTCCTCCTTGTGCCCACTTTCTCGGGGGCTTGCTACTTTTTGTCTTCTATTGTGTGGCTTTCTGAGTGTTTGAACCCCAGTCCCGTGTCGCCTTCCTTTTCCCTTCTCTCTCCCCTCTCTGCAGGGGCTGTCTCCCCTCTCTGCAGGGGCTGAGGCTGAGGGGGAGCTGCATCTTGCTAGGGCTTCCCCCTTCTCTCCATCTTGGTCTCCGGAGACCCAGCTTCCGAGATGGGGCGTGGGCAGCTCCATCTCCAACAGAGTGTCCCTGGGGCTCGTCCAGGGCTGGGGAGAAATAAACCGTGTATATAAAAGAGTGTCAGGCTGAGCCTGTTCTGCTCCGTTCAGTTGTCTGCCTGCCCTTGGGGTGTGGCACACACATGGCCAGGACCCCTGCCCAGCAGGCCCTTTCTGACCCGGGAAAGCCCTGGAAACCCTGGTGGCACCAGGGACTCAAAGTAGCTGCCTCTCGGAAGGACACTCCCTCTGCTCCAGCCCAGGTCACACTCCCCGCTGGAGAGGTCCCTGGAAAGGTGGCTTGTGGCCAGTGGCGGAGGTTCATGCCTGTAATGCCAGCACTTTAGGAGACCGAGGCGGGAGAATCACTGGAACCTCGAAGCTGGGACTACAGCTCATGTCGCCACGCCCGGATAATTTGATTTATTTATTTATTTTTTATTTTTTTAGAGACCGTGTTGGTTTAACCATGTTGGTCAGGCTGGTCTGGAACTCCTGACCTCGTGATCCACCCGCCTCAGCCTCTCAAAGTGCTGGGATAACAGGCATGAGCCCATGTGCCCGGCCCAGTCCACTTTCTTTTGGGAATGGAGCTCTGGCCCACTGGGGACCGTCTCAGGGCATTGCGCAGGGGTCCTCTCATCTTCCCCATCCAAGGAGACCAAACGTAGCCTTCTTTCCTTGAACTTTATGTTGGAGAGGATCCTGCAGGAAGGGAGCCACGCCCTGCCGTTCCTGTCTGTTCCACAGACTCCTCCAGATTCTTCTCGTAACTCCCCTTTGAGATTCAGTTGACTTGAGCTGGTTTCTGTTGCTCGAAACCGGAGATTGCTGGCTGATACAGGGCCTCCTCCCCTGGGCAGAGCTTGGGATCAGGGGCATGAGGGCCCCAGGCAATGGGGTGGAGATTCCCAGGGATTCCAGGCTGATGTAGTGACAGCGGGTTGGCAGGCTGGGCAGCAAGTTAGATGATGCCTAGTAGGGCTGTGTGTAAGACCCTCCAACCTGCCACCCCACCCTGGATTCGGGAAGGTTGGTCCACTTGGGTCCTCTTCTCTCCACTGGGGTCAGTCACGGGGACCACTGGCAGGAGATGAGATGAGGGAAGAGTCAAGGTCTTTCCTGGTCTTCCCAGCAGCCCTTGACCCAAGACCACAGCTCGACCAGGCGGCCTTCCTTGGGGATCTTCAAGATCTTTGGAGGGCCTGGCACAGTGGCTCACACCTGTAATCCCAGCACTTTGGGAGGCCAAGGAGGGCGGATCACCAGAGGTCAGGAGTTCAAGACCAGCCCGACCAACATGGTGAAACCCTGTCTGTACAAAAATACAAAAATAGGCTTGGTGGCTCGTGCCTGTAATCCCAGCAATTTGGGAGGCTGAGGTGGGCACATCACCTGTGTTCAGGAGTTTGAGACCAGCCTAGGAGACGTGGTGAAACCCTGTCTTTACTAAAATACAAAAAGGTAGCCAGGCATGGCAGCATGCACCTGTAGTCCTAGCTACTCAGGTGGCTGAGGTAGGAGAATTGCTTAAACTCGGGAGGTGGAGGTTGCAAGTGAGCCAAAAGCCGAAATCACACTACTGGACTCTAGCCTGGGCAACAGAGTCGTATTTAAAATTGTGTTTATTTTTTTCATCTAAAAAAATAATAATTTTTTTTTTTTTTT